TGCCGAACCACGTTAAATATTGTGTCAGTGTGCTTGGCCTCCTATGAGCAAATATCAGTACATCACCGGTCTGAATTCCCAACAGTTGCTTCTTGTAATGGAGTTGTATGTCTTAGGGGTAGATATCCCGAGTTTGATGGCAGCAGGAGGCTTATTTTGTGGAACCCGTCAATTAAGAAAACTTTGCGCCTTACACCTCCGAGGTCATTTGCCAGTACAGTCCCGACTTTATTAGGCTTTGGCTATGATCCAAGAAGTGATGACTATAAGGTTCCTAGGATTGTGAGGCTTGGCAATTCAGCCGAGAATCCATTTGTTTTCCAGTTTTTCTCTCTCAATTCTGGATCATGGAATGAAAACGTTGATTTCTTCAGCATTAGTCTTGAAAACAAAGATGCGTTGCGCAGCATCACCCTTTATCGCTATAGTAAACGGGGTTATTCACTGGCTTTTAAATCGTAGGGACGAAATCGATACGGAAATGTCCAGTAACAGATGGTCACCCTTAATGCTTTATAACGATGTGTTTGTGCTGGCTTTCCATTTAAGCAATGATTCATTCGGTGAGATAAGGCTGCCTGAATGTTTTGATGATACGACCAAAGTGGTGACATGTAGGACAATTTCAGTGTTCAAGGACTTACTTTCTTTTAATGTCTTTGAGGGTGGTCCGTATAGCAGAAGATATAATTGTGAGATATGGGTGATGGAACAATATGGTGTGAGGGAATCATGGACCAGACTGTGCCAGATTGAAATGCTGCATGTAGCAAGGCCAGTGGTTCTGAGGAGTAACGGAGAGATATTAATGGCAGGATACGGACCTCATAGAGTAGTTTCATGTCAACCTCTGGAACCGATAATTCGTGATATGGGGCTGGAGCTGTCAATCGATGGCTACGCAGGTTATTTTGTAGAAAGTCTTGCTTTACTTGATAAATGAAACTAGACTCGGCAGAAAAAGGTGCGTGTGTGATCTTAATGTCCTTAACTGTCCTTTGGGATTGAAATGAATTGGGATGTTTTTTTCTTTAACTATTTTTGTTTCACAACAATGCAGTCATGGATTGATCAGTTGCATCATTCATGCATGTAATCGCCCTTCTTCCATGCAAGCTGCTGGACACGCTGCAACTAATGGAGCACCCTTCTTCTATGCAGGCTGCTGGACATGCAGCAACTAATGGAGCACCCTAAATAAAAGAAGAAAGAGGCACTGGAGAGGTTGTCTTTGGAAGGGAACGTAGTATTCGGACCAGTTTTAGATGTTAATGCTTCTTCACATTTACACAGCTCAAACTATTTCTCATTGTTCTGGCAATTTCTGAAGAATTTATAGTTTTCTGGTAGATATATCTCCTCATATCAGCCTTTTTGTGCTGGTGTGCGGCTGCTGCTTTGCGCTGTCGATCTTGTCGATGATTGATGGCAAGGAATGCTGACAATAAAAATGCAGCTCAACTCGTTTCTATGGCTGTGGTGACTTGGCTGGATAGCATCTCAAATTGCGTGTAAAAGTGTGAGGCGATGCTCCTTATAATAGAAATTGTGATAACACCAGCCAATTAGAGAATTCAGTGAAAATACATGACTCTCTTACAATGAATGGTTTAGGTTTAAAGCAGTAGCAAGCCAGTTGTAAGTAGAAGATACACGCCCTTTGGTCCCCAGACGGGATTAATCGTAACCTAGTCCCTCTACTCTTAAGATTCTCTTAACATGGTCCTATTATTTTCCCAATTTATGAGGTCCCTCTCTCTGCTCAAGAATTTATTTATTTATAATTGCGTTTCCTCCTCCATGATTCTATTCAATGTCAGAACGTGTAAAGAATATAGAATTTTGGGCTTGGAAAAATTAAAAATTAAAAGTAAATTAGAGAAAACATTATTGAGAATTTGAGGGCAAAATTATACTCCTGCATATTCCTAACAAATTCGAAAACAAAATATTCCTTAAAAAAAAAGTGATGAAATTTGGAGATTAAATGCGGTGGGCTGTATGTTGTCAAGTTCAAAATTCAAAGCCCAGCAAAGATGCAAGGACTCCAATTTTTTATGCCTTTCACCGTAATGGGTTCCTCAGTCACCGTTACCCGCCTCTGCTATTTCTCTCCCACCAAATCCCCTCTCTCTCTCTCTCTCTCTCCCTCCCTCTCTCAGCCTCTTTTATCGCAAAAGAAGCCAAGAAGCTCAAGAAAAGACTCAGAGACCCTCTCGTTTGTTCCCTCACATTTTCCCTTCTTCTTTCTTGACATCAATCACCAAGAAAACACCCACCCCACAGGCATTTCGCAATCAATTAAGTCCCTCTATCAGACCAGAAAAGAAAAGAATCTTGCGACCTTTTCTTTCTCTCTGATGGGCAGAAAGATGGCAGAAGAAGTGACGAAGGATCCTATCGCAGATGAGGTAGTCATTTACGGAAAGATGGCAGAAGAAGAAGTGACAAAGTATCCTATTCCAGAGGATGTAGTTATGAGTATACTCTTAAAATTACCCATCAAATCTATTTTGAGATTCAGGTGTGTATCGAAATCATGCAATTCCCTCATTACTTCCCCTTACTTCATCAAGAAACACTTTGCCAAAGCCAAGCAATTGATTCTTCGAGTCGGAAAGCCTGTAGCATCTGTCTCTTTGCATCTTGATAACGATTCTTTAGATAGGTGCTTACAATTGGACTTTTGTCAACCTAATGCTTTTAAGGTAAATGGTTCTTGTAATGGAGTTGTATGTCTTTCGGGTATACATCCCAAACTTGATGCCAGCGGAAGTGTTATTTTGTGGAATCCATCTATTAGAAAAACGTTGCATCTTCCACCACCGAGGTCCTATGCCAGAATTGCCACTACTTTATTAGGCATTGGCTATGAGCCACGAACCGATGACTATAAGGTTGCTAGGGTTGTGAGGCTTGGTAGTTCAGCCGAACGTCCATTTGTTTTTCAGTCTTACTCTCTCAATTCAAGATCTTGGAATGAAAACGTTGATTTCTTCAGTAGAAGTCTTGAAAACGAAGAGGCATTGCGTGATATCACCCTTTATCGCCATGACAATCAGGCTATTGTAAACGGGGCTATTCACTGGCTTCTATATCGAAAGGGCAAAATCAATATTGAGCGATACATTAACAGTTCGTTACCTTTACCGGGCCATAACAAAGTGTTTGCATTATCTTTCAATTTAAGCAATGAATCATTCGGAGAGATAATGCTGCCTGAATGTTTTGATGATCGGAGGAAAGTGGTGACAGATAGGTCATTGTCAGTGTTCCAGGACTCTCTTTCTGTGAACGTCTTTAATTGTGGTCTGTATAGCGGAAAATGTCTTTGTGAGATATGGGTGATGAACCAATATGATGTGAGGGAATCATGGGCCATAAAATACCAGATTGAAATGCTCCATATAGCAAGGCCAGTGGTTCATAGGAGTAATGGAGAGATGTTAATAGCAGGATATTCATGGAGTCGGTTAGTTTCTTTTGATCCCCAGAAACCGAGAATTCGTGATACGGGGCTGGAGCTGTCAATCGATGGCTACGCGGATTACTTTGTAGAGAGTCTTGCTTTACTTGATAAATCAAACTAAACTCAGCAGCAAAAGGTACCAATATTCTTAATGTTTTAATTATCCGTTGGGATTGATGTGAGTTGGGATTTTTTAAATTTTCTTTCTTTCTTTCTTTAATGTTTCTTCTTTCACAAGGCAGTCGTGGATTGATCAGTTTATCTTGCTGCATCATTCATGCATGTAATCACCCCTCTTCCATGCAGGCTGCTGGACACGCAGCAACTAATGGAGCAAGAACAAAGAGGCACTGCAGAGGTTGCTGTCTTTTGAAAGGAATGTAGTATTCGGATCAGTTTTAGATGTCAGTGCCTCTTCACATTTACTTGGTCTTCCTGGACACAGCTCAAACTATTTCTCATTGTTTTGGCAATTTCTGAAGATATATTTGTAGTTTGCTGGCAGATGAATTTTCTCAGAATACTCCATTTCGTATTTGTTTGCTGCTTTGCGCTGTGGATCTTTTGTTAATGATTGATGGCAATTGACGTTCGATTGCTGATAACATTTACCTTTACTTGATGATTATCATTTCATTCTTCACTTTCGGTGTATTTTGCTGGGAATATTATTACACTTTTTATTAATTTTACTATTAGATATCTTCCTTATTTCTATTTAAAAAATCTTTTACATATATTATTTATCGGTTATCTTGATTTAACAAGCACATGATATCAAGCTTTATATATCAAACCATCAAACATATTAATTAAAAAAATAAATCAAATTACTTGAATTAAGATATTAATCCATTATTTAACACGTTAATTTTATTCCTAAATCTCTTGAATATAAAATTTATCAAACATTTTATAATTTCTCAAATAGGACAAATGTTTAATTATAGAACAATGTTAATGGGGTCCACCTGATACAACGTAAGCTGAATATTGGCAAGATAAATTTTAGACCAAGCATGGGATTTTTTTGGTAAAGTATTCAGTGAGAAAGTTAGGCGCCGATGGTGAAAAGTAAAAGATTGAAATTGAAGGGCATCCATCCATCTTTTATTTGTAAGTATGGATGTAATTAATTTGCCGAATATTTCCTGGATGTTACATTAATGAGCTTAATTTCGACGCCAGCATGCATTTGCAAGCCATGATGAGAGCTGCTCTTGCCGAATTCACCTCCCTTCTTCTTTTTTATTATTTGCAAATAATAAGTTGGAATTCATTATTTTTATTTTTTGTGAGAAATAAGGTTGTATTTGATTAAAAACAGAAAAACAAATATAAAAATAACGTAAACATATTTATTTATAAAAACATAGATGAAGATATAAAAGTAAATATATTTCTATACAGTTAATTTTATAATGGATCTCTATCTTTTACAAAACAAGAAATACATTAAAATGTGTTTTTTTATTTTTTTAATTCAAAGATAGTAATTAAACACTCGCTAATATTAACAAATTGAAGAGTATGGCCCAATAAAAGAAGTATAGTAACGCCATGGACGTTTATACAAATATGAAAAAGCGAAAAGTATTTTTCAAAATATTAAAAATACTATTTTAATATTTTTTTGTTTTAAAAATATTAAATTAATATCATTTAAGTGTGTTTTTATAATTTAAATAAAAAATATTATTTTAACATTTTTCAATTTAAATTATATTTTTATAAAGCACCACATGGCATTATTGAACTTCTTGCCCGGTGGAACTCTTAATATTAGCATTATCAAAGAAAAATTAAAATCTAAAACTATGCAAGAGATCGGATTAGCTTAACACGTGTCATTTTTCTTAATTGTCTCAAGATATCTTTATTTTTTTTAACGGATGTTAATCTTTACAAATAAAAACTCTTAGAAAACATAGAAAATTCCTAATTTCCACACACGTGTGAACTTATTTTACAATACTCTGAAGTCTGAACGTGCCGCTCAAGCAGAGCAGTCAGTCGAGTCAGCCCATCCTTCTTCCATGTTTTTATGCAGCTCCAATCTCCTGCTTCGCAGCGCATGTTTAATCTTCATTTCAACGGCCGATATCATCTTACGCGGCACCCCAGATACCTCCTCTAGCCTCCTCAGATCCTGCCACGTTGTAACGGACTTGTCCCCACATGATCTGACCCCGAACCAAAACGACGCCGCTAACCTCACTCTGAACGGCAAAACCAGTCCCCCAAAGCACAGCGCCATTGCCCGAGAGGCTCTCTTCACCACTAAATTACCATTGAGCCCCAACCTTTGGCACCAATTCACAAAAACACACTCTGACCTCAAATTTCTCGATCTCTTCAACCTACTCCCGGAAAATCTTGCCGGAATATTGGTGACGCAGCTGGTTAGATCATCTTTTCTTGTGTTCTCAAAGCGCGTCGTTTCGGTGGTTGAAATGCAAGCAGAGGATAAAGTACTGGAACAGGATGAAGAGCAGGAGATGGAGTCCAGTTCTTTGTTTTCCGGCGAGCAAGAGAGGCAGGTGACACGGCGAAGAGATGGGGCGGTGCCGGTGATTGAGCTTCCCGTGAGAGAATTGCAAGCGGAGCAAATTACACGGCGGAGATGACGGGAAACAACGAAGTTAGCATTATGAACGTTAGAATCACATTCGAAACAAAGAAACGCAGCATCTGAATCGCAGTAGAGAACAGCTTCTCTCTGGCAGAGCTCACAGACTTTAACAGCCATTACTTCTTTATCATCAATTTTGATGCTTCAAACGACGTATGATGACGAAAATATTGCAAATCAAGAAAGCTGGAGCGATATTGTGAAAGTTTCTTTAAGGGTTTGAAGATAGAATTAAGAAGAGAGAGAAGCGGCAGTGAAGATGGTGGTTGGTGGTAATGCATAGAGAGAGGGGACGGGGGCTAGAAGATCTAGGCGGTGCGTGTCTATATATTAATATAATATATGGTGGTGTCCATCAATGCAGAGGCGGAACCAGGGGGCTGGCCAGGAAATTTTATTTTTACTCTTAAAAACAAAAGGAGTATCCAGTTTTAACCCTCTAGAATTTGTTCTTTTATTTAGTTCACAAATTAAAATTTCTAAACCATCCGGACCCTCTGCTACGAAATTTCAGTCTCTTTTGTCCACGTGTTAGTGAACCTTGTTTCAAAATCTCTTGTTTTTCTCTTTTTGCATTCTGGTACCTTATTTTTGCCTAATTAGTAATCACGTTGACATTTGCTAGATTGAGAAAAATATCGTACCATGTCGTTTTCAAATTTGATGGAGCGTCGTTTTCTGAGATGTTAGCTCGGGTGTTTTTTCCATGTGTTATTGTGGGATTTAGAAGAGTGACCGACTAAGAAAGCATATATGCGTGTGGTTAAGATTTGGTTCGGTAAGGTGTTTCAAATTATATTTTTTAAAAATTTTAAATTATTTTAATGTGATGATGTTAAAATATTTTAAAAAATAAAAAATTATTATTTTAATATATTTTAAAAAAATGTTTTTTAAAAAAACTATTACTAAGATGAAAATACTCGATAACTATGTTTCTGTATTTGTACAGTAAACAGCCGTCGTAGGGCAAATTAGTCAAGAGGATTTAATTAATTAACTAACAATCTGAGGGGCAAATCCCCAGTTCTTCTCAACCAAGAGTCTGGCGACTGAGGCTGGGGAGACAAACACGTGTCAAGATTTCAAAACGTCTTCAGGACTTGATTCGATACTTCGTCCCATAACGTGACAGCCTTTTCATGATGTCATGCGAATTTAATCTTTGATTCCTGCTTTGCCCCTCAAACGACATGCATTATTCTAGCTTGTACCATTCATTATTTATCATTCTTACAAAAAGGTACGGGGTAATTGTTAATAATTACGATAACTAATTGATAGTAATCCTGATTGTTTTACTTATTCGGCCAAATGATCATCTGAGATTGGTTGATTTTTATTTTTATTTTTCTGTCTCTTTTTATATTTGTCCTTTTCTTATACCATTTGGAGTGTTTTTAAAATCATTATTTAAAACGGTTTTTACCTGAAAAACACTAAAATGATGGTTTTAGATGATGCTGGAAAAGCATAAAAGATAATATTGAAAAAATCTAAATAATCCAAGTAAAAAATATATTTAAGGATTGGTAACTTGGGATTTAGAAAAAAATATATAAATAATATAAATATAATTTGACTAAAATAATGAGGAGAGAGGTATAAAAACAAATCTATTTTTTAAATAAATTCATATAATCTTTTTTTTAAATAACATATCGTCTTGGTGCATCCTGAGAATAAATCAAACAAAAAGGTTTAAGTTAAGCATAAGATATTTTCCCCCCATTTGTTCTGTATGATCATCCACTAATTTATTTTTATTTTTTTCATTCAAGCAACTCCATTTTTTATTCACCACACATGTTAAATTAGAGGATTTATTTTTCTGTGCGGGTAAAACTATTTTATTGAATTTAAAATTTAAAATTGTAACATGATATATTAAATCAATATATATATATATACATATAAATATTTTATTTGAATAGCAATATGTCAAATGGTGATAGGGTAATCAAACGATCCAGTTACAAAGTTGAAATTTCAAAAATGGAACATGATATCCAGTTACGTGGCAAAACCCAAGCCTGTGATATACCTATATACTTTTATTTTGAGCCACACAAATGGCTTCACAAGAGAGGGATGCCGTCCTCAAGATACAAAATCTTTAAGAATGAATAAGCATCCACGTGGCAAGAACAACATATGAACTTAGAGGTGGGAGATGGCAGTTGTTCCTTTCTAATCTTGAATCAAGAGTTCCTCTGTATTCATGGTCGTTTTAAAATGTTTTTTTTTATATCAAAATAATATTTAATTATATTTTTAAAATTATTTTTAAAACAACATATTAAAACTATTCAAAATATATAAAAAAATATTTTTAATAAAAAATTTAAATTTTTTTCAAACATGGTATTTGTCGTGTTCCCAAAAAGCTTTTAAAGATGTATTTAAATTGTATTTTTTAAAGAATTTTAAAATTTTTATATATTTTTTTAAAATTATTGTGATGTGATGATGTTAAAAATAATTTTTTAAAATATAAAACAATATTTTAATATATTTTTAAATAAAAAATACTTTGAAATTTGAACTATTATCATTATTATAATTTCAAACAGACTCTAAATTAGATTGGTTTAAAAATAGGCTATAATATATTGATTTATATTTTTTAAATAAAATAATATTATTTAAAAATATAAAAAAATAAACTAGATTTTTAACTATAACCATTAAATCAGTTCAAATCATAAATCATAAATCCCATGAGCAGGTTGCTTTTGACTAGCGTGGAATGTTTAATGTGGTTGAGCCCAGACAATCGCGCAAATTTCAAGGAGAAAATCAAATTAACAAATAATTATCTTTTTTACATGAGTATTTTTAATTGTATTTTTTTAATTATTTTTCTTCAATAATAATATTTTTTAAGTTTATCAATGATAATGATAATGATATTTTTTAAAATTTATTAATTGTTCTATTAATAATATTAATTATAATAAAAATAATAATATGTATAATACAAATAATAATATCATTAATTATAATAAAAATAAAAATATTTGTAAAACAAATAATAATATTTAAAAACTTAAAACCCAAAAATATGAGACCCTTTCTCTAGACCCAATACTCTTGGATCTTGACACACGACCTAATTATTTTAAACTCTTTGTCAGGACCCAAGAAAATTATAATAAAAATAATAATATTTATATTAAATTATAATATTTTTATATTAAGACTTTGAATTATAATTAAAAATAATGATATTTATAATATAAATAATAATATTTTTATATGAATACTTTGAACTATAAAAATAATAATTATATTAAAAAATCTAAGAAAGTTTATAACATGAATTATAATATTTTTTATATTTAAAAACATCCAGTCCTACCTCGGGACTCAATGCTCCTGGATCTTGTGAGAGGACCTAGGAAAAATGGGTCTTGATGCAAGACCCAAGCGAAATGAGTCTTGATTATTGGATTTTGACGCACAACACAATATTTTTAGACCCTATACGAGGATTCAATAAAATTATAATAAAAATAATAATATTTATACTAAGAGGGTGTGGACCAATCATGTCTGAACTGAAAAGGGGTGTGGTCCTTGATCGAATCCAAAAAGATCGTGGTCAATGGCCGGACCTAAAAGGGTTAGGATTTAAATCCATGACTACACCCAATGTAGTTGGGGCTTTGGGTCCATGGTTAGACTAAGGGGATTGTGGGATTGGTTTGTGTCCAGACATATAGGGTTAGGGTATAGGTACTAGCTTGACCTAAAAGATTTGGGTGAAGGCACACCCAACCGATTGGGGTTTGGGTACGTGGCCAAACCCAAGAGGGTTCATGTCCGGACCTAAAAGGTGGGGCTTTTGGCTGTCGTAAGTGAGTTAGGGGTAGAGTTGTGTCTAAACCCAAAGAAGTTGGGGTTTAGATTCTTTTGTGTCTGAACGTAAAGGGATAAGGTCTATAGCGGGACCCAAGATCGTTGGAGATAGAGTTGTGGCCACACCCAAGGAAATGGGGACCGTTCAATTCAAAACCAAAGGGGTGGGGTCCTTAGTGGGACCCAAGCAAGTTGGGGTTTTAGTCAAGCACCCGCAAGGGGTTTGGGTGGGGCAGTGTTCGGACCCAAAGGAGTGGGGGATAAATCTATATCCAAACCCAAGTGAGTTAGGGTTTGGGCCATTTTCTGACCCAAGAGGTGAGGACCATTCATATCCAGACCAAAGTGTGTTGGGTTGGTATTAGTGCTGAAGATGGTTCAGACTTTTTATGTGCGAACACAATGGAAAGCGATTCTTGGCAGGATCCAAAAGGATTGGGGTTTAGATCGTCGTTGCACCTAAAAGGAATGAGTCCGTGTCTCGACCCAAGAGGGCTAGGTCTTTGTCTGAACCCAAGAAATTTAGGCGAGGAAGCCTAACCTAAGAAAAGGTGGGCTCGGGTTCAGAACCAGGACAATGTGGTCTAGATACCCGATTCAATAAAGTGAGTCCATGTTTGAACCTAACACTCAAGTCAGTATGACAACCCAAATAATATTAAGAATAATAATATTTATAATACAATATAATATTTATAATATAAATAATTAAATTTAAAAACCCAAGAATATTTATAATACAAATTATAATGCTTTTAATATTAATACTTTGAATTATAAACTCAAGAGAAATGGATCTTGATGCTAGACCTAAAAGCATAACAAGACCCAAATGAAATGGATCCTGACAAAGGACCAAAGAATATGAGATTCTAATGCCTAAACTAGCAAAATCATAATTAAAATAATAATTTTTTTTATTTTAATACTTTAAATTATAATTAAAATAGTAATATTTACACCATGAAAATAATATTCTTTCTTTTAATACTTTGAATTATAATAAAAATAATAATATTTATAGCACTATTTCTAACACAAATATTTTAAAACAATAATATTAATTATATTTAGAAACCCTATAATATTTCTAACATAAATAATAATATTTTTTATATTAACACTTTGAATTATAATAAAAATAATAACATTTATATGAATATTTTAAATTATATAAAAAAATATTTATAAAACAAATAATTAAATTAAAAAACCCAATACTATTTATAATACAAATTATAATATTTTTATATTAATATTTAGAATTATAATAAAAATAATAATATTTTTTTATATAAATACTTTCAATTATAAAAAAATAATTATATTTATAATACAGTTCAAGATCAAAGAATATTGAAATTCAATACACTATCTAAATTCAATAAATATGGCTGAACACTCAGGCTTTTTTAAATAGTTTTGGGTCTGACCCAGCGAAACCCAACAAACACTAGTGACTCCTTTGAAAGATTTTTGGATTTAGCTTGACAATTAAACGTAACAACACTGTATCTAGCTACCAAGCCACACCCAATAATTTTTCGCAGAGGAAACAATGCCCCCAGCAGCAATTGTTTACCCAAAAACACAGGGCTGCTTTGTGGAATCCTAGTATTAGAAAGACGGTGCCTATCCCCGAGCCAAGTGTTAGTTTCTAGTGTTATGGATTCTTTGCGCCCTCTTTAGGGTTTGGTTTTGATACCATCAACCATGGCTATAAATCGGCGAGAATAGTATATTTGGAGCATTAAGGAGACAATACTGCCACCATTGATTGAGCTTCACTTGCTGAAGAGTGGATGCTGGAGAATGGTGGAAAATGATTTCAAACACGTCATCCGTCGGGGTTCAAGGTCGGCTTTTCTGAACAGAGCTTGTCAATGGACAACTGTGAGTTCCCAAAGGTGTGCATTGAATGTGATTGTGGTTTTTAATTTAGTAGATGAGAAGATTGGGGAAATGATAATTCCGGATTGTGTGCTTTGCAGGGATCATATAGACTTGATTGTTACTGTTTTTGATGGATTGCTTTCATTGGTTGTCTTGTAGAGAAGGTTCTGTAGGGAAGGACATGATTCCATTCGGGCACTGAAAGAGTATGGTGATGCCAAATCTTGGATTAAGGTTTTCAATATTGACCATTTGAAAGGTCGGGTTTCTGATTTTGTTGGATTTAAGAAAAATGGTGAGATGTTTTTATTGCTTGGAATGGAGAGCTAATTTCTTACTCGAAGACAAAAAAAAGGGAGCTGTAGAATTTGGGGCTCTAAAATACTGGCTCCCGCAGGTAAATTTTACCTGGACTCTCATGTGGAGAGTCTTGTCTTATTGAATGAAGCAAGTTCGACCTCAACTGACAATTCTTCAGGCAATGAAGAAACAAAGGAGCATTCTTCCCGTGTTGCTGGTCTGGACAAGAACAAAAATGAAAAGAAGAAGAAAGGGATGAAGATTATGGAGAGTCCTGAAATAGTGGATGGAGAAAATAGAATTTTGGAGGGAGGTGCTTCAAGTTCTAGTGCTACTTCACGTGATATTGTCACTAATGAAGGAAATGGAAGCTGAAAAGAGCATGATCTCGGTGCTAAAAACTGGAAACAAACAGAGAAGAAGGAGAAGAAGAAGAATGGGATGAACAACATGGAAAGCGATGATGAAGCAAATGAATTTCCAGGGAAGCATAATTTTCAGTCTAATCTTGGTGGGACTGGAATCGGAAAGTAGAGTCTGTTATTTTAGATTTTATAGTATATGGGCTGCTTCCTCTGTTAAAAAGCAAATTATCAGACGAGACGAATGAAGGCATCTTCCTTCTGTCAAACATTGCATGGTTGACTTTGTATCAACTGTACCATCCTAAGGAACTGGTTTTTCTTAATTAGAAACCACCTGTTGGGCAAAAAAAATTACAGTTCTTTCACCTGGAGTTGAAGCCTCGTAACTCGCTACATGAACAAACAAGATATATGTAAGATCTTTGTAGCTGGGCAGATGCATTTTCCATCTTAAACATCCCTTCCAGATTCTAACGCAAACCACATGTTAACAAGGATTCTTTCCACTGTATTCCCCCGCCGCTGAACTTAGAAAGAAAATCAGGAAGTGTACGCATGCTTGAAATGGTGTAAATTGAATGGATGCTATTGTATTAAAAATAGCAACATGGCAAGGTATCAATATCATGCCTCAATGCAAAAGGACTCAAATCAGTAAGAAAATAAAATAAATTCATCATTGCTCAAAATTTATAATTAAAAACTCCTTGCGTTACCAACCAATCTTAGATTTTTTGTAGTAAAAAATAAAATAAAAAACCGCCCCAAGTCTGATCCATTAATGATGGATAGACTACTAGATCAAAGCAAGCAATCGTCTCTTGAAGGCAACCTCCTGAATACATTTTGAGGTATCGGTGGAAGAGTAACTCGAAATCTTGGAGACCTCATCAGGTAGGTGCCAAAAAGGAAAAAAAGTAACCGGAAAGGCATGAGGTAAAACACTATCCAAGCGACTAGGCAGAAGAGTGTAAAGATTAAGGTAGCTCTTCGATCCCTCCATGAAAATATAGCATGAAACCTCTCCAATTGAGTCGCCAAGTCGCCTACTGTTTCTTCTATCCTGTATCCAATGGCTCTCAATCTGTCATACCTGAGCCTCAAATCCTCAAATGGCGCAGATGAAGGGAATGTGTCCAGCTCCTCCTGCCAGTCTAAAGTATTCACAGATTCAATTTGTGATAGATTCGTATCCAAACATAGAATGTCTCGAGGCCTCTTGAAATAGTTGCGCAAAGCTTTCAAGAAGAGGAAGGCAAAGAAAGATGGAATTATGATCTCTGAATAATATACAAAAACTGAAAATGCTGCAAACATGACAATCGTCGTCCTTGAATTCTTCCACTGGCGTAGGTCATCAAACCAAATCAAAGCTGTCTTGAAGAATTTCAAACATTCCATCACTCTCTGAAAATGAGCTTTTCCTCTCCGGATGCTCCATACAGGTCCCTGTCCACTCAACATAGACTCCACCACCTCTTTACTTAATGGTGGTTCCGCACGAGCAAGTCTCATGGCTATGTGACGAACAGCCTGGTTCCTTAAACTATCTATTTGGTACACAGACATTGGGTTTGTATAGGCTGGTTTGGGAAGCATAGGCTGCATGTATTGATAAATTTTATCACCAGAACCTTTAGTATAGATAAATCTTAGAGTGAAATGAAGTTCTCCCATTTTCTTCACCCCATCAGGCATCAAGGCTACTAGAGGATAAGCATATTTATATATCCGACCAAATTCAAGTGTAGAAAGCCGAATTCTGATTACTTTGCCAATTAATCTATCAGTTGTCCATCCCTCCCCTGCTTGTAAATTATTGTTGTCGAAAACCCCGATAGCAATCACTGTGCATGGATCCAAAACATCCCATTGATATTGTTTCATCCATTTTGGTTCTAAACTGCTAACAACAGTGCTAGTTCTTGTCCACTTGGGTCCATATTTGGCCACACAATAAGCATCAGTAGTTTTCAAACCATTCTTGGATTTCATGGGCACCAACCCTTCAGCTTTTAAGATTCCTAACTCCAAATCTCCAACTTTTCCTGGCATCAGTTTGGGTGATGATGCCTTCAAATCAGTACTAAATAAAGCAGGTTCATCGAAAACATGATACACACCATCCAAATATATAGTGACACGAAGCTTACTCGAGAATTTCTCCATCGGCCCCTCTACCACCCCATACCTTTCAAGATTGATTATCTCCTCACTTGGAAGAGGAGGCAAGAGTCTCTGAGTAATTTTATTCACAGGCTTAACACACTTCCCTAAATAATCCACCATATTATCTCCTTTATCATCTTCCACACTTAAAATCAAAGCATCTTCGAATGGCTCAGCTACAACAAACATCAACTCCTCATTCCAGCTTGGATTCACACCCTTGTTCTTCGAAACTTTGGTCTTCAAAACCTTATTCCCCAGTGTAGCCTTCACGTAAACTTCAGGTTTTCGATTTGGATCCGAAACTACCAAATCTTGAGCACCATTCACCTTTATTTTAAGATACCAGAGTCTTGGCGAATAGTACACCTGTGGACGAGCATTAGATACCTTGTCAACACTAACAGATGCTGCGTCTAAATGCCAAGCTAGTGAAAAGGCATCATCCACTTGATTCCCCACCCATATAGCCAACATCAAATTTCCTGATCTACCAGAAACTCCATTCTTATCTTCAAGTCTATACCACTGTGGTGCCACTGAAGAATCGCCCTGAAGCCGAGTAGGGATATCACCTATACCAACTTCAATGCTACCAATTATCTCATTAGTCACACTTACCTTACCCCTCACTGAAATCTCTATAGTCTTTGCTTGAAGACGATCTTTGTTGAAAGCAAACACTTGGTTCCAAATAAGGGCTAATGTACTTTGAATGTACTTGGTTGTTGCCTTATAGTTTCCACTCTTCACTTCAACATAAAGGTCACAAGTCCTAGTAATTTGATTCACAGGCAAGTGGGAGGCTCTCACAACTTTTACATACACGAAATACAGTGGTTCAACCAAGGTAAGCATGTTGGGAGTCAAGGTTTTTCCTCCATCAATATTTGGTTTTATCTCCCTGAGAGAAAAGTCCTGCTTTGGCGGCATTGCTCAATCTAGAACAACAATTTGAAGATTTCAAAAAAGGAGAAAAAACACGGAGAAAACCCGGCCAGGCAAAACTGCATGCATGCGTGAATTATTCACGCATGCTATGCACAGTGCGAAGGTAATTATAATTAATTACCTTCGCACTGTGTCAAAGGAACTGAATTTGCAAAATTGGGAAGAGACTCACCTGGCGCTGTTGAATTGGAGCTGCGGTCCGGGGGAGAATAGAGGAAGCTGATTCCAGTGGAGAAGAGCTTCTCACGACTGATCAGCTGATGGACGCTGGCCGGAGGAGCACGGTGGGGAGAGAGGTTTTCCCGTTGGAGCTTGCAGCTTACTGCCGTTCACGGCTGGTGCAGAGCTGCTAGGTGGAGGAAGATCTTCTCGGTGGTGACTGTTACTTTGTTGCTGAAACCTGTACTGCCGCTGCTGGGAAGAGAAGGTTGCTGCTAGTTCTGCCACTGCAGCTGGGGAAAGGTGTGGCTGAGGAGCACCTGCTGTCGTTGCTTCAACGTAAAAAAAGACTCCAGGTGCTGCTGCTACCAGAAGAAAGAGACTCAAGTTCTCTGCCAACCGGATGCTGCTGAAACAAATCTCCTGCTGTTGCTATGGCGCAGAGAAGAAGCTCCTGTTGGACTGGATTGAAGCCTGCGGTTGGGTTGACAGAAGCTATTGTTCTTCTCCTATGCAGGTAGCGGCTGAGAGGTTTGCCTGTTGGAGCTTGTACTTATGTGTGCTGTAGAGGTCTTGAGAGTTGAAACGAGAAAGAAAACCTATCTGCAAAAATAATAAATAAAAGAGGAAAAACAAGTTAATCACTTCAAGCTATAAAGGTTTTTTTTTTTTTGGTTGCAAACTAGAAGAAGTACATTGCCTTGAGCTAAGTACCTTTCAAGCCCGAAAGATTATGCTAGGTGTGGTAGAAGAGATTTGGTACATGTAAGTGTATGGAGAGTGAATTAAAGTACATATTTAAAGAAGCATATTACAGATTTGGCATTATCTATATTCGGAAAGGAAACAAGGAGGGAAAGAAGAGAAAAGGAAACTTGACTTATGAACTTCCTTTATTTAAATTTCCTCTTTGGGGGTTTTTTCTTATGGTGTTACGGGAGTAACAAAAGGAAACACCATGGAAAGTAACCCATGCTTGCCTCTCGTTTTCTTTCTTGTTTCTTGTTCCATTGCCCAAATCGAAGCTGGCATGAGGCAAAGTGAAGCACTTGGCCATCTCTACAAGGCCAAGTTGGAGGGAAATTCTAACATTGACAGCGCTCTTTTTCAAGCAACCGAACATGTAGATATGTCCAAGTTTCATCATCAAGAGGGATTAAAAGAGAAAGATAGAATAGAGAGCTCTCCTGGACAGCCAAAAGTAGAGTTCTCGCAATATGATGGTTATGTTACTGTTGATAAATCTGCTGGACGAGCACTGTATTATTACTTTGTCGAGGCTCAACATTCTAAAGAGTCTTCGCCTCTTCTTCTCTGGCTCAATGGAGGTACTTACCTCCATCTCATCCTCTGGTATTTCCTTTCCCGTTCCATGTTTTTTTTTTTTTGTCGATTTAATTCAACATTCGTGTGTACTATTTAAGCAAGTTGAAGTTTTTGAGTTTCTTTTCCTCCCTCTTTCTTCCTTTCTCTTGATACATCTAGGGGTTAATATCATATACTTCCTTGTCCTTTCTCTTGATACATCTAGGGGTTAATGTCATATACTTCCTTGTCGATTGTCACCAGAATTTAAACCCTGAGTATACAACTTATTATTTTATCATGTATAATCCCGTATCTTGTGGCAGATAAACTTGTCTTTTGATTTCCGTATCAGAAAGCTTTTCTGAAAACATATCGTCTCACCGCAAACCAAAAAACCACCAAATATTTGTTTGCTCCCAGCTCCACAAGCAACAAGGAGGGAAAGAGAAGAGTAGTGTTGCTTGCTAGCTTCTGTTGGTGGAAAGATGAGAAATAGAATGCGATGTCAGTTTGTTGATTGTGTAGCTTTTCTACTGTACGTAGGTGAACGTTCCCAAGACAAGGAAGACTTGCTGCAAAAACAAGGAGTGCAAAGGGCACACTTTACACAAGGTCACCCAGTACAAGAAGCTGGGGAAATTAAGATGGCCTTGCTGCTCAAGGAAAGCTAGCGCCGATATGATCGCAAGCAGTCAGGTTATGCATGGAGGTCAGACCAAGCCTGTTTCCCAACAATTTTGTATTCTTGTGTATTTGTTTAAGTACAAAAACAGAATTTACATGACTGTTACCGGCCATAACTCATCTGGAGAGTGATTTCAGGTCTTTCCTGTTCTTAATATCGTTGGTTCTCCTGTTGATAGGCTAGAACAACCGATCAAGAAGAAGATTGTCTTGAGGTTGCAATGCCAGAGTTGCAAGCACGTGTCCCAACACCCAGTCAAGGTGTGTTTTCTCAGTTTTTATACTTGTTTAAGACTATCAGCACCTGTTTTGTTGACTACCTATGCTATCACTTTTTGGATGATCTGCAAAATACTGCCAATCATGATGGCAAAAGTTCAGGTTCATGTCCTTCTGGTTTCCTCCCCTGTTTTACAGCAATATCGCATGCTATACGCTATGTATCTTTATGTATGATCATCCCTTTGGATGATGATTGCATGAATGCCATCCATCATATGAGCAAATGCTTCTGAGAGTCTTCTTTAGCTGCGGCGGCAGTCACTATAGATGAGTTTTATGCGCTTGTGTATAGTTTATTTTTGTGTTTTAAAAATTTAATTTTTTATTTTAAATTAATATTTTTTTAGTTATTTTAGATAATTTTAATATGGTAATATTAAAAATAATTTTAAAAAAATAAAAAAAATATTATTTTATATATTTTTAAATAAAAAATATTTTAAAAAATAATTATAATCATAACTATACTTTTAAACAAATTCAGTTTCATTTATTTATAAAAAATCTCTTGTAAATATATATTAGAACAAACTAGAGAAAGAATGAAGTTGAGATCTTTAACCTTTTAATCTTTCTTTTTTTAATTATTATAGATTGATTTAAGTTGCATTTCAGCTTTTGATTTATAAAGAAGACATTAGTTTCTTTGATTATAAATAATTTTTAACTTAATTCAAGAATAATATTTATATTTAACTTTTGGATTTTACATAAACAACAACTCTTTTTTAAAAAATTGTTTTTATATGCATCTAATTTATAATTTATTTTTATTATAACATTAATTATAATTAAAAGAAATTAATATTTTATTATAACGGGAGTTATAGTAAATTGTGAGTACTTTTACTAGATTACACTGTTCATGACTGTAGTGAAAATACAATAGATTGTGAGTGTTTTTTATATGAACTCAAGATAAATAGATTTCGCATCAAAATCCAAAATAAATAGATTTTATATCAAAACTCAAGATAAATAAGTTTTGATGCAGGACCACAGAGTACTAGACTGTCCTGAATACCAGTCTCAGTCTCGAGTCCTGTGTTAGGATTTATTATTCATAGGCCCTGCATAAAAAAAAAAATTCACTTAAATCCTTAGTTAGTATTCATGATTTGAGATCATTTATTAAGAAATATTTTACTTAGGTTCTGAATTAAGATTTAATAATCTTGAATCATGTGTTAGAATCTATTAAATTTGGATCCCGTCGATGGTTTGAGTCTCTTAAATTCTTTGTGAGGATTCAAATTTTTTTATGGTTTTATTATTTATGTTATAAATATATTTTTTTATAATTCAAAGTATTAATATAAAAAATAGTATTATTTGTGTTATAATTATTATTTTTTATTATAATTCTAAGTATTAATATAAAAAAATATTATAATTTGTTTTATAAATATTTTTAAATTTTTTAATATAATTAATAATATTATTTATTTTTTTAATTCAAAATATTCATTTAAAAATTATTATTATTTTCATGCTGCTGCTTTTCTTATTTACTTTCGTAGTCTTCTCCAAAATCCAGCCGAAGTCTCTTGCACCCCGCGAAACGCGGCACCAAGAAAACCCCATCTCGAAACGTTTCAAACTCTCCATTTTTTCTCAGATCAGTCTACAATTAAACAGAGGAGATCCCTGTTTATTGTGTTTTGGAATTAGATCTAAGCAATGGCGAGGGGTAGATCGTCATCGTCGTCAAGCAGATGGAGGTACTGTAATCCATCGTATTATCTCAAAAGACCGAAACGCTTAGCTTTGCTTTTCATTGTCTTTGTTTGCGCCTCTTTCTTCGTCTGGGATCGTCAGACTCTCGTAAGAGAACACGAGGTAAACCAAAAAAGGAAAAAAATGTATTCAATTTCTCTCCTAATTGCTTGGTTGTTGAGAAAATGTGACAGAAACCGAAGGAAAATTATGGGAGTTTACTATTTTTGCAGATGGAGATTTTGAAATTAAATGGGGAAGTGAATCAGCTAAAAACTATGGTAAAAACCCAGAAAGGATCTGTGATTTCATGTTGTTGTTTTTCGAGTAAATTTTTTTTATAGTGATTTTTCTTTTGTTTGGTGAAGTTGGAAGGGTTAAAGAGTGGTGGTGGAGATGATGGTAAGTTGATTAGTGAGAAGAAGGATGTGCCTGACGAACCCATTGATGTTGAGAGAAGACAGAAAGTGAAAGAAGCTATGATCCATGCATGGAGTTCTTATGAGAAGTATGCGTGGGGCCACGACGAGCTTCAAGTAATGATAATTCTGTTTCTTTTTTGAGCAATTTTGTTGATTTTATGTTTTATTTCGTAGGTATGATTTGGATTAATGCAAGTTTGTGGTTTGTGCTTAATTTGTTTCTCTTCTTTTGCAATGCATTTCCACTGAGAAAAATTGAATGGCATTCATAGCCTATGTATATGATAGTCAAGCTTTTACTTTGTTTTCTCCTTGCTGGATGTCACATGGATCATTGAATTAAGCTAGTTTGATTCCTCAAGTAGGATTAAGTGATTAACTGGTAAATTTTACCACCTAGGGTAGACTAATTGGACATGAAAGGTTATTTTTGTATCTTTTCTAAAGGCTGTACATACTTAGCATGTTAATTTTTATTTTTCTTCTTTTCCCAACAGCCACAGTCGAAGAAAGGTATTGACAGCTTTGGTGGTCTTGGAGCAACTCTAATAGATGCTCTTGATACACTATATATTATGGGTTTAGATGAGCAGTTCCAAAGAGCTAGAGAGTGAGTTTTCCTTGCATTTCCGTATTTCCCCTTACACTTATATGTTACAATATGCTTTTGCTTTTTTCATGGTCAGTAATGATAGTTAGGTGTATTCATAGAGCAAATTTCTCCTTTAATGTCATTGTTTTTACTTAACTCTTCCATTGTTTGTAGGTGGGTTGTGAACTCATTGGATTTTAACAAGGATTATGATGCTAGCGTGTTTGAGACAACCATAAGGTTGCGTTATCAGGTTTAATATGTAGTTATTGTTGTTTTAGAAAATAACAACTGTAACGATGGCATGTTTCAATTGTCTGTTAGATTAGTTACATTTCAGAGATTGATCATCTTGCTGATATATCCTGTCCCTTCAAATTGAATCCAGAGTTGTAGGTGGACTGCTTAGTGCATATGATCTTTCAGGGGACAAAGTTTTTCTTGAAAAGGCCAGGGACATTGCTGACAGATTGCTGCCTGCATGGAATACCCCTACTGGGATTCCTTACAACACCATTAACTTGGTACATGGAAATGCTCATAACCCAGGATGGACTGGTGTAAGTCTTGTTACTTTTTGTATGTATATTCAATCACTGTCTCCTTATCCAGACATTATTATCTCATAGGAGTAAAAGTTGTGTTGCAGAGCTTTAACTTGTGCAGATGCTTATTTTATGCTTGCTTGCAAACAATGGAAGTATTTAATTTTTATCTCTTTATTGTAGGGTGACAGTATTCTTGCCGATTCTGGCACAGAGCAGCTTGAATTCATTGCTCTTTCTCATAGGACAGGAGACCCAAAATATCAGCAGAAGGTATCTTCTCCCACGTCTCCATGCATATGTAATTGCCAGTGTTCTTTGCATTACTGTGTCAGAGCTTCAGATATGATGGCCTTGCATTTTGCAAAATGATGCCTGTCATTAACTTTCTGGTCCTTAAAGCTAAAACTGGACTTGATTTGTTATTTGAGAAAAGCATAAATAAGTGGGCTTATTTTCTTTGTATCTTATTATTTATTAACTTCAATAAAAATTAGTAATGGTTAATTCATTGGCTAGTAGTTGACTTTTTTGTAATAGTTAATTTGTTGGCAAGCAGTTGATTTGCTTGAGACTGAATGTTTCAGGCAGAGAATGTTATAGCAGAGCTTAATAAAACTTTCCCTGATGATGGTTTGCTTCCAATCTATATTAGTCCTGATAGAGGAATTGGATCATACTCGACCATAACTTTTGGGGCAATGGGTGACAGGTATTGACCATTTGAAGACTTTGATATGAATTATTTATTGTTGATTGGGCTTCAGATTTTGTCATCTATGTTGACACTGCTAAAATAATCAAATGCTGAACTTGTTTACTGAAAATCTGTTTGCAGCTTTTATGAATATTTGCTCAAAGTTTGGATTCAAGGGAACAAAACTTCAGCTGTGAGAAATTATAGGTGAGATGTTGTCATCGTGTTACTTTACTTTTATATATAAAAAAATGGCCTGCTTTACTGGTTTGAAAATGAAGAAACAATATTCTTACTGAATTTAGATTCCTGAGGAAGCTGAGCTCCTGAATAACTGTAGAAAAAGAATTATCACCTTGCTGCTTTCAGGAAAAGTGAAATTTTCACTTCATCTGTCTCATCAAATTCAGTTAGGTTTCTTGACTATGGGATTAATATTTCCATCCTCCATGCCACTGTAAAATGGGATAAAAAATATTCAAGTACAGTAAGGTCCAAAATGAACTCTCCATAGAGAAGAAATAATACATGTTAAGTACAGGAAAGGGTGACGTTAACTTCACAATTCCATTTTTAATGTGCCAGGACTCTCTCTCTCTCTCTCCACTATTTTAATTGAAATGTATCATGTAGCTATTGCTGTTTATTGAATTTCTTACTCACAAAAAAATTCCATGTGAAATATTGGAAGCAGAGAAATGTGGGAGAAATCAATGAAAGGTCTCTTAAGCTT